GGGTCTGATGTTGAATTGCTAGCTGCATCGCATTTRTTAGATACAGATATATTTGTTTACACTAAAGTCGGTCTTACTTACAAGTGGCATAAGTTTTCGAAATTAATGCTTGATGGTTCTTTGCCAAGCAACAAATGTGCAATTTATTTGAATCACACTGGTGGAGTCCATTATGATGTTGTATTAGATGTTAATTCAGATGTTTCTGCAAAAANATTATTTTTCTGACTAAAGTGCATACAATATATCCATTAAAAACAATTGAACAAGAAATCTTTTGGAGAAAATGCTATCTTGCACTTAATTTTCCAAACTTATTTGAGCTCTCTATTCATTATTGTTGACACAATAATTTGTTTCTAAATTTCTTTCAATGATAGGTCAACAATAGAACTGTGACCCATTCCCTCCCTTGTTGTTACGCCAACATACTTTCGGCAGCACTCACTAACTGTCCGTTAGACTAGTATTTAATCATGTCATGTATAGCATATTTATTTTCATATTTGTTTATTAGGACTTAGCAGTGAGTTCCCCACAAGAAAGTACCAGTCAACTGACAATTCAAGGTGGAGACGCACCTTGAGGAGGGTGTTCAACTTGAAAGATTTCAGAGGAAAGCAGTGGGAAGTCATTGCCAGTAAAGCGAACAAGAAGAACACTCTTGTTGTTTTGCCCACAGGTGGGGGTAAAACCATTTGCTATGCTGTCCCTGCCTTTATGGAGCAAAAAATAACTGTCGTTATTGTACCGATATTGGCTCTTCTCTTCGATCAAGTTGAACGTATGCGCAACCAAGGGCTCAATGCTTGTTACATCATGGCAGGCATGGATGAAGAAGAAAAGGAAGCAATAATGCATATGCTCTACTCTCAACCCCCTGAATACAACTTTTTGTATTTAACACCTGAAACTGCACTTTCATCTTGTGTTTTTGATTTACTAAAAAACCTGTCTTCATTGGATCTTATTAATTTCTGGGTGATAGATGAAGCCCACTGTATCGACACCTGGGGCTTCCATTTTCGACCTAGTTATGCTGAATTGTGGAAGCTAGGTGATATTGGCAGCCCAATGCTTTTCATGACAGGTACTGCTACAGAAAGAACACAGCAGGTGATAACAGCTAACTTAAAACTACCACAGGACACAGTGGTAGTTATTTGTTATTTGTTTCCATCAAGGGATCTAGCTCCCAGGCCATCCCTTCTTGAGRATTTCMCTCAAAGTGTTCAATGTTATCAGTCCYATTGTTTCTTGGGTTTCTATTTTTGTTCCTTTTTYTCTTGTGGACTTTCTTGCCCCAGCACCAAACTTAATTTCTCTGTCCTTCAATCTTCTGATTGACCACCATGTTTTAAATTGATCTTTTTCCTTGTCCATTTCTTCCTTCAACCTATTCATGACGTCCTCCGGGTACAAATTCATCTCCCCGATAGGCTGGGCGATACCTGCCAGTTGGTCAGCAACTTCGTTGTAGTAGATTCCTGCATGACCCGGAATGTATGTCACGTGTAATTTGGCTTTGATGTTTTCCAATAGYGGTACCCACGAGGCTTTCACCATACCTGTCTGCAGTCGCATAACTAAGCTTTGTGAGTCAGTAAGCATTATGACGTTATCATTTATCGTTGACACGGCCGACAACCAGATAAGTGCATCTTCAAAGCCTTCTGCTTCAGCACGGAATGAGCTCGTGCGGCCATGCCTACCCGCACACCAGCTGTACATACGTTTACCACCTCTCCATGAAGCTCCTCCCCATGCTGTGACGTTGTCTCTTACAGAACCATCTGTAGCAATAACTACTTTAGCTTTGGCTGCAGAGATGTACTCATTGACTATGGACTGGTTTACAGCGGGACTTGTCTCACGCCACTCCCTGCTTCCAATAATATCAACAGTAATGCTTTTCTTACRATAGGGCACCCATATGTTTGGTGTGATGTTATGAATAGGAGTGATGTTTTCTATGTCTTTTAAAGCAGCTGTTATCCACGGTCTTACAATCTTAAGTGTTACATTAGTTGGATGTTCTGCTTCCCGCATAGCTGTATTCAACGGGTGACTTGCAATTGTTAAAGCTCGTACACATTCCTTGCTGGCGTTTATCCTATAATTCTGCYTCATGCTTTGGAATCCCAGATAGTACTGCAACGCTTCTCCTGATGTTTTCTGTGCAGCTCCACTTACAATCCTCAAAGATTCGTTGAGCACCCTGTCCAATCTATTGAACTGACTGTCAGAGACTGGACAGCACACATGCAACCCATACTCCAATCTGCTTACAACTGTYGATCTTACAAGTTTAAYGAGACTGCTTAGGGTAACGTTCTGACAAGCTGCATAACGCACAACCCCCATGGCTTTCTTAGCTTTCCTGATGTTGTTATTGATGTGCGAAATCATGTTCAGTTTGCAGTCTATGACTACTCCAAGGTAAGTCAATTCTTTCTCATGTCTCACTTTCTCTCCAGCATACTCTTAAGTCTATTAAAACACTTAAAAGTCTATTATAACACTTAAAAGTCTATTATAACACTTAAAAGTGTTAGCATGTCACGCTCGATGTGTCGCAGTGTTACCATCATCCAACACACTTTGTCTGGCTGGATTCGCATGCGGTTTTCGATAGTCCACTGTTTTAACTCGTCACTTGCCTCTTGTAGCTTTCCAACTGCTCCAACCGGTGACTCGCTCTCACAGCATATAATAATATCATCTACGTATGAGAAGGGGTCTGTTCCCTCTGCTTTTGTACATTCAATGATGTCCGCTGTGTAGATGTTAAAAAGGACACAGCTTAAGGGCGACCCTTGTGGAAGACCAGAGCTTACTTCAAATGGATCCGATGTCCACTTTCCAAATCTCATACGACATCTTCTTGAATCTAACATAGACAGAATCCATCTTACCATCACGTCGGATATGCCATAACCAATCATTTTGTCTGCAAGTCTTGGTATAAACACTCTATTGTAGGCATCCTCCAAGTCAAACAAACCGAGTGCCTCCACGTTGGATGTTGTAGATCGTCTAGGTCTGGCACCTCCAACAGCATTAGGTAGCTTGCCTGTTCTTTCAAGTCGATCAACTAATCGCCTCGCAGCTACTTTTTCACACAATTTTACCAGTACATTGGCCATAGTGATTACTCTGTATCCTTTAAGAACTCTGTGATCTTTGTTAGGCTTGGGTAGAACACTCAAATTACAGTCCCTCCAGTCGGAAGGAATTTCACCTTCTTTAAGCGTTGTGTTAATCAGTCTAACTAATTCTTGGATCAACTCATCATCGTCCACGATTGATTTAAGATCAGAGTACACCACTCTGTCATGACCAGGTGCTGTGTCCTTCGTAATATCTCTGATGACTTTCCTCACTTCTGACTCTGTTACTTTCTCTTCGCGTCCCCATACTTTCTTTTTTGATATGCGCTGATTTAGTTCATCACATTTGCTCCTTATATTACGTTCAGCAATTTCTTGCAGTTGATCTCGGTATCTGTTAAGAAAAGCTTTCCCTTTTTCCTCGTCTGTTCTTTGAATTCCACCATCTGTGTTCTTTATTTCCTGTGGCGATGGACTTGCCTCTGTGTTGATATTTCTTAGAATTTTGGCTAGCTTATAGAATTTACTCACAACTGCTGTATCACCCGAATCACAATTTTTACAAAAAATATCCCAGGCTTCTTGGCGCTCAGCCCGAGCAATCTCATCATACGCAAATACTGCTCGGTTAAATTCTGTACGCCTCTCTTCAACTATTACAGGGCCCAGATTAAGTCTCTTAGCCTTACAATATTCCTTACTTGCCATGATTTTAGCACCCCATGCTGCTTGGACTTTTTTATTATTGACCCACGTAGATGGTTCTCCGCACKTCATTCTTTTTTGCAGTGAGATTTTGTGTTTCCGAAGGCAGCTGACTAAGTCATTTGCGCTTGTATCATACATAAATCTTCCTGATGGTTTTAGCTTAGGCTTATCTTTTGGCATAAGAACTTTAATTAGTATCGGCCTGTGATCACTTCCGAGCAAAGGTAGCAATTTCCAAGAAATTTCTGGGGCTACTTCTGGACTTGCAAGTGTAACGTCAATACAAGTGTCTGCATCTCCTGGTCTTTCCGCTATTCTGGTTGGTCCGTATTCGTTCATTATGACACAGTCGAGATTGGTGTAAGCCTCATCCAGAGCTTTGCCGTTCATATTGTAGTCCCTGTCACACCAGAGAGGAGATCTAGCATTATAATCACCCGTTACGATGGGGTGGCAAGGGTGGTCTAGTGGTTAAGCTACTGGCCTCTCACCGCTGTGGTCCGGGTTCGATTCCTGGGCACGGACCATATGTGAGTTTGAGTTTGTTTGATGTGTTGTTCTCTCCCTTGCCACGAGGGTTTTTCTCCGGGTCCTCCGGTTTTCCTCCCTCAGTAAAAATCAACATGTGAGCAGTGTTGTGTGCTAAAATAATTAATGTAGAGGTAGTGAGTGTGAGTGTGAGGGCCACAAGTTCATCAGTTCTTTACTGTCACGTGTTACCCTCGTAAAATAAAGTCGATGACTCTCTCGCCAAGAGATAATAATGGCGCGAGAACACTACTCAAGTCTGCTTCTTTCTTTAAAGCATTTGCAGGCACATAGATGTTGACGAGGATATACTGCTTATCCAAATAGCGAAACGCTATTGCTAGTRTCTCCACACCATATTTTATCGTGTCAGGTGTTTTAACTTGACAGCATTCAATACCACTTCGCACGATAGTTAACAGTCCTCTTTTACAGTGCCCGTCTTCAGAAGATGGTTGAAAGAAGACATTGTGCATGCCATAACTCGGTTTCTTTCTTATTTTCGCTTCCTGTACAGCAATGATGTAGTGGTAGTTAGACAGTGGTAGTTAGACAGTCCACAAACCGGCCAAACCTGGTCTACCATGTCATTGACAAGAAAGGCGATGGTAAAGATGACATTGTCAAACTCATCAAGGACAAATTCCATGAAAAATGTGGAATCATTATTGTATTGAGAGAAGGGAGACAATAGACCTGACATATCATCTAAGGTTAGCTGGGGTGAATGCTGTCTTCTTCCATGCTGGCATGGATGCTTCAGAGAAACAGCAGAGCATCCAAAGCTGGAAGCATGGCGCAACCCATGTAATGTGTGCAACTGTCGCATTTGGTATGGGCATTGATAAAAAAGATGTCAATTTTGTGGTCCACCATAGCATACCCAAAGATCTCGAAAGCTATGCTCAAGAATCAGGGAGGCCTGGCAGGAATGGTTCTGAGGCACATTGCCTCATATTCTTCAGGTTTGAAGACCGAACAAAACATCTCAGAAACATTGCCGCTTTGCCTGACAGCGAGAGAAAGCATGTTTGTTTGAATGGCCTCAATGATATTGTCAAATACTGCATCACTCCCACCTGCAGACGGAAACAAATAGTGCAGTATTTTGACAATAATGACCCATCTGGAGATCTGTGCAATCATTCGTGCAATATCTGTGTCAAAAATGCTAGTGTACAGCCTGTTGATAGAAGTGATGATGCTATTCAGGTTCTCAAATGTCTTGAATCTATGCAGCAAATTGAACCAAATGTCACTATCAAGGTACTGATATCTACCTTCCGTGGCCAATGCTATTGTAAGCAAAGGTTTTGTAACTGTTATGGAGTATGGGATGGGCAAGGCTAAATTTACAGAGAAAGGATTACGAAAGTTTGCCCAAAATATGATAATCAAGTCAATCGTTGAGGAAAAACTGAGGCCAGTGAACGACAAGGTAACCACCCCATATCCTGTCAAGGGAGTTAATGCTGTAAAGCTACTTAATAAGGAGATCAGTTTTTATTTCTATAGATAAAACTATAGAATAAACATTGAACACAAACTGTAGGGCCGATTGTACAAATGTGAAATGAAGGAAATTGTTGCATCGATGTACATGTACTATTTTTTTGGCCTTTTGAAATGGAGGCAACTGGGTGCTAGTTTTTTTATTTCGACTAGAGTTTCATTGGTTAGAGTGCTTTCACTATATGCGTGGAACAGTTTGCTAACAAAATGGTACAATTTAGTGGAAAATCTTTTGTCTTCTATTGTTTAATTAGACGTACAATTTTGTGCAATTTCTTACAAAGTGTTTCATGGATATAACACTGTGTCTTACTCATTATGTAAGCAAAAGCAAATCAAACTCAATTTTGTGTTTATGAATTCAATATGTACATTTCATTTCATAAGATTACACTTAAGACACTGTGCATGTTAAAAGTTAGAATGTCCTTGCAGTAATATTCAATAATTTCAGAGATCATCAAAGCAGATATGAGTGGAAAACAGAATTCATGCTATAACTGGGCTATAACTTGACGTTTCTTCATTTTTGAAAAGATGATCAATGCCATCACACTTGGGGATTATTGTACCACGAACTGTGAAATTCCACATCTTCGGGGTGATTTGTTTGACAATTCTCTGATGACGCTTCATACCTCTGTACATGTTAATATTGCCTAACAACAATAGCAATGGCACTCTAGGGGGTACACGTTTTAGAAGGACATCTTTGAAATTGTCTAGCCTCTTCTTTAAGTAGTTCTTCCTATGATTAAAGTTGTAACAACAACTTACAAAATACCTAAGAAATATAAAATGGCCACTGGTGTCTTTATCCTCTGATATAAACATGGTGGGAGATGTAAAGCACGAGAAGCAAGCTAAGAAACATGATTGCAGTAAGTGTTTTTCTTGCTTGAGTGCTTTCCATACTCACRACGTGCTTGTATCAGAGGACAGAGAAACAAGCAGGCAATTTACATTTATTTTATAAAATGTTTGTACATTTTTCAGAACATAATATTCAGAATGAAGTGTAAAAACACTTCTCTCTGAACAGCAAGCCATGACTCTGTCCTCTGATATAATCATGTTTTATAAATTGTTGATAGAGTGTGTTGGCTTGATCTGTGAAATGAACAGTTAGACAATAAGAAACAAAATAATTATCATAATTTACCACCATTTTTGTATCATGTATGTCATATTAATTTTGTATTGTTTATTATAAACATTGTTAATATTAATAATACTATCTGAGCTATTCATTTGGTTATGTATTATGAATTGCTTTTGCTGAACTTTCAAAATTTATTATTTTGTTATTAGTATTCTCATTCATACATATCATAGAATGTACTGTGCAGTGGCAGCTACATGATTGTACAACAATCTTAAACTTCAATAACATATAAGAATTTAAACAGAAATGATACAAAAGTAGTGGATCCCGGATCTTGGTAGAGTTGAACTACCACTACATAGTAGGCTGCCAAAGAAGACCCTTTTCCTTGAATCCACCTTCAATTGTCACATTTCCAGTTGATTAATTTTACTAATTTATTCTATATAATGTTACATGTACATAAAACAATGCATTCAATCGTTGGTTTACAAGAAAATGAGTAAATACTTACAAAGACTTCTCAAGGATTTGAGAAAATCATACTTTCAGAGTATTGTAATGAAGAGAAATTCCCATTGACTGCAGCATGTTAATGAACTGTTTTCCTGACCCGTAAGACATGCAAAGAATACCAAATAGCAGAGGAACATCATTTTGAGTTTGAGAGTTTCTAATGTTTAGCAACAGTCCCAATGCATGATAGCCACAAAGAATTTTGTGCTGATTTGTTTTATGCACATTTTTATTAGTTTCACTTGTTGAGACCAGCCCCTCTACAATGCTGTTTAATAGTGGACATTTTTCTTTAACTCCTTTAACAAAGTCTTTGAAAAGTGAGGGCTTTATAAGCTCTGTTACATCACCATGGATCATACCACCACTCCTTATTCCCATATTGCTTAACTCTTTTATAGTTAAGTTCATTATGTTGTCCCTGGAAAAGCTTTGTTTTATCTTGTCTTTCATTCAAATGGTCCAGCTCTTTTGCATAGTGTGATATTAGTGTTTGTAAGTGGACATCCCTTTGCCTTGCTTCAGAAGAAAATTCAGCGAGCAGAGTTTTTATTTCGGTTATATCTGAACTGACACAGATTTGCTGCCATTTTCATAACTTCTTCAAATGCAAATATCTTTCTTTGAATATTAGTCATCTCATCTACAAATGAAATATGTGGTATATAAGAGGTTTTGTAAATAAGTGACTTTAATAACAGCCATAAATATACATCTGATAATACTCCTGTACATTCTGGTGAAGCACAACTGAATGAGGGTTTTTGTCTCAAGTTAACATAAGTATTTCTATTAATAATTAAGGCTTATTCAAGATGGAAATTCAAAAAAAAAAATAAAAACAATAGCTGCAACTAGCCATATTAAATCTTTTAGTATTTGTATTTCAAAGGATACAGTCCTCCTCCTCTATGGAGTGAAACTTTATCAAACAATTTGTTAATGGTGCGGGTTAGCAAGGAACTGGAATCTATTTTAGTATAGGCCATTATTTCGTCCTGACTGACACTACAACCCAACTGCTCCACAAATCCTTCCTCTAGCAAGCGCTCAATCTCGTATCGTCTTGCCTACCGCCTTCCCAGATGGGTGGGCACCTACATTGAGGAATTAGTGAACGGATAGCAATAAATATGGAAGGTCACAATCASTATACAAACCAGTAACAAAGCGTTTTGATTTTGGCTRTTGATTCTCTTTCGATTGTGGTGTTAGGTCGTGTTTAGATCCACCAAATACATTTTTCTTCGGAGTACTTGTCGATTCTGCTGGTTAAATATTTGAATTACCAGAAATCGATAGTTCGTCCATTGATTTGTTAAACTCTTCGTAGTTCGAAGCCATCTTGGAAGTTCGATTCGTTTTATATTTCAATTTTATACTACAGAAGTCATCTCAGAAGTCATAAGATTCGTTCTCGCGAACAATTCCAGAGAAAAGTACCCAAAATAGGCAGATAACGACTTTTCGATTCTTTTACCGAGTTTTCGATCCTAGTATGACCAGTCGTCTCTTTCCTCAGAAAGTCCCTTCCCTCAATGCATTGCGATAGAGAGAGAGGCGACTGGGGACGAGTCAGTAATGACTCAATTGCTGTTTTCTCCTCAAGAGACAATTGGCACACTTTAAAGGGAAGAACTCTGAAAATACCATCAGCAATAGCCTCTTTCTGGATTTGAGACTGATTCCCATGATCYAGTTTGTCATACAATTCTTTTGCTGCASATCCTTCTGTCAACAAGGGAATGAGCTCTGGAAGCTTTTGTTGTATACTCACTGCAAGCACTAGTTGACCATCAACACTCTGGGTTCCATGGAACATGTTTCACCATTAAAATCTTCAAATGCAAAACATGAGTGGGTCCATAACGGTCCCATATCACAAACTCTCTCTGCCATGTGCAGTAGACAATGTACATTGAAGGTCTCATATCGGGGGCCAAATAATTCTCCAATTTTAAGACAGAAGTGTTTTAGAAGGGTACTAGCTTTTTAACATCTTCAATTGAAATTGATTCTTGAAGGAGTAAATAAATACTTTCAACTAAAAGAATRTAATGTTGAAAGTATATGTCTGGCAATAAACCATATAGGCATGGAATTGAATAAAATAACAAAAAGGTTCTAAGTTCAGAGGCTTTTAAGTGTCCAAAGTTAGATATATAATCAATAGCACACCCTCTAATTATGTCGAAACGTGGAATAAATRCACTCCAACTGAATCCTTTAACACCATTTTCATTTGTTTCGATACCACTTTTTGCAGCTTTTTCAGTTGCTATGGCTGCAAACTTAAGTGTTTGTTCATGAGTTCTTTCAATACCATGYCCAGTCTGCAAATTGKTTTCTGTGAATGGATATGCAAGTGTRTGGCCCCTTTCACTTGTTTTTACTGATTCCCCTGGATGTAAACAGTATGGACATCCAAAGAACCCATTATATTGACAAAACTGTTGAAACATACATTTTGCTGGTGCATCAAATGTTCCAAACAGAAGAATACATCTGAGTATTTTTTCTTGTTGCTTAATGACTACTGGTGTGCCTGAAATTTTAGATATACACAGAAAATGGTTTAAGTAGATTACATTGAATTTTATTAATTTACAAYATACACCTAATTACAAAAACATTGTCCTTTAAAAATGGAACATTTATAAAATGTACCAAGTCAAATATTAACCAAAAGACAAAAAGAAATTGCCGAATCTGAACAATTTTCATTTTATAGCTTAATGTATTCCCTAAACTTGCTCAATTTCTTTTTCATAGGATAACCTTTTTGCAATAATGTGTATGCAGTAGATTGAAAAAACAAGAATTATCATTGTTTTAATATTCAAATATTAAGTTACCCATATCTGCTGTACCTTTATGAAAGATGTCCTTTAATGCAATTGCAAATGGTTGCATGAATGTTTGAAAGATAGGTTTATGTTGCCCAAACCAAAGTCCCACGAAGAGACGATATTCCCGCTTAGTTCTGCAAGAAAAATTATTAAATATTTTAAAAACTTTTGTTTTATAGATACACAAAAACACTCAAATTGTGCTAATCTGGACTATGTACTTTGATTKTAATAATAATTAAAATGTACAAAATAGTAAAACCATAAAAGAAAAGTAGTTTTAGTTGATTATTATAAGTAATTACATTAATTATTATTTCACATTTATAGGTTCAGATCATCAACTAAYAAAAAAATTTACCTGACTT